GGTCCCTTCCAATCCCTGTGATTCTGTGTGAACACGTGCTGCGTATGGCTGGGAGTCGCTGAACCTGCTGCACAGAAACCCTCAATTGCCCTTTGGTAAAACATCGTGTTGGAGAACAAAACTCTCCTGAATTCATTTCTTGGGCTTTGTTATTTCAAACGTGGACCACAGACCAGCTTTAAGGTGGCACAATTTGTATTTAGAGCCAGCTCTGAACAATACCTGCTGTGAGTCTGCCTGTCAATCAATATTGTGGGGTTTTTTTCAAGGGAAGTTGTGTGTATTTCTTGTAACTTGTAGATTTTGGCAAATAAAACCAGACTTGCCTTCGGTCACTGTGCTTTTGCAGTCTGCAGGGGCAAGAGCAGACTTCTGACTCTCAATTAGAACTTCTGACTTATCAATTATAAACAGAAAACCAACCTCCTGCTCCTTCAAACTCTGAAGCTATCAGGGGATTTAATGACCGAGTGAATAATTTTTACTGAATTTACTGATTGTTACAAAATTGTTCTTAAATCAACACAAAGAGATTTTTATCCTTTCTATTGCTCAGTCCAGACAGGTTCTGGTAGAGAAAATGGCTTATCAAGGAAGTGGGAACTCAGCAGAGCAGCTTGATTAAACTACACGTGTCTGTAGTGAGAGAAAATTCAGGGATTTTGGGGTTCTTGTTTTATTTTTGGTTTTTTTTTTTAATTTAGCAAGGGCAGGACCCACTACCTGAGACCTGGAGTGAGACAACCTTGAGCACAAAACAAAGCCCAAATCTTTAGGTGCAATTTTTCATCTGTTCAGAACAAACCAGTCAGGAATTATGGGGTTCTTACCTTTTAAAAAACACTTTAAATTGAAAACTGGATGCTTTATTTATTTATTTATTTATTTATTTATTTATTTGTAATTACGTTCATTTCACAATGTTAAGATTCAAAATAGAAACAATTCAAATTCCACTTTGTTTCTCATTTTCCACATAATGTATGAAAGCAAAACCACTTTCCAGCGCTTCTTTGCCTTTAAATGTGGCACTTAATTCTTAAATAAATAATTATGAAAGAAAATTAAACCATTATTAAATAAATAATATTTATTATTGCATTTTAATAGTCTTTTCCATATTTGCAGCACTTTTTGTTTTGAAGCAACTAAAACTTCTGTCTCGGCAATCTTTCCTTGATAAATCAAACCAAAATAAATCTTGTGTGGAAACTTATCACTACTGTGGGGGAAAAAAAGAAAATACTTTATGATTTGGGATTTATTTCTTAAATTTTTTAAGAATTTCTTCATTTTTAAGAAATTTCTTATTTCTTAAATGGTTTTATTTTAATTTCCCTCCTTTATTTCCTCCTCCTTGCCAAAAAGTGATGATTTTTGAATTGTTAGGGTGTTCATTTCTTATCTTTTTCTTGTTTGGTTTTTTTTTTTCCTGTTCTTTCTAATCAATAGGCAAAATTACCAAGATTTTCATAACTCATCTTCATGGTGACCACTTTTTTGGACTTCCTGGCCTGTTGTGTACACTTAGCCTTCAAAGCAACCCTGACCCAAACAAACCACCTGTTGAGATTTATGGACCATTAGGACTTCGAGACTTTGTATGGAGGAGTCTGGAGCTCTCCCACTCACAGCTTCTCTTTCCTTACACTGTTCATGAGCTCGTACCTACACGAGACCAATGCCCTGAAGAAGAATTTAAAGACTTTTCATATTTGGACAGAGATGAGGTGTCTCCCCAAAGAGCACAAGGCAGGATACTCCACCTGGATCCAGGAGAAAACTCTTACTTGCTGCTTGAGGATGAGCAGCTGGTTCTGAAAGCCTTTCGCCTTTTTCATCGCGTTCCTTCCTTTGGTTTTGTGGTGGAAGAGAAGCCCCGTCCTGGTAAACTCAACGTGCAGAAACTGAAAGATCTTGGTAAACTACTTTGACTTATTTTTTTTTCCTCTTTTAAAATTTTTTTTAATTGCCTAAATGCACGTGTTCAAGCTGAGTAGTCACTCTGGTCAGTGGAGCAGAGTCTGGTTGGAGACC